AAGTATTGACTTCTCTTGTATGTGTACTCACCATGGAAAAAGAAATTCCATGAATTAATTGTTGAATGAGGAGTTCATGACTAGCTTCTAAATAATGCTTTGGCGTTTTCTTTGTGTCATTCACTTTTCTTCTTTTGTTGTGTGTTTTGTTTTGACAAAAGATTTTAACGAGTTAATATTGGTCACAAATGCAAACATTTCCTCGAACAGTTTTCTTTGATTATACTTTAGTAGTTAGAAAAAATAAAAATTAGAATTTTTTGGGAACAAATGCTATTAATATCGTAAAAATTGCACGGAGCGCCCTATTTGGTCGCCCCCATTTTACCTATACTCGTTTTTTAAAAAAGTTTTAACTTGTACCCACTTTTTAAACAACTTCAGCCTCCTTTCTCCTCCTCCTTCTCCCAGTGATCTTCATATCTCTCCGGAACTTAACATTGATGTAACAATATAATGGCTCGATTTATCATGTGTTTCATTGGTTTGATTTTTTTACTAGTCTGTCGTGCACACAGTTATGAAGCAAGAAAAGTACTCTTGAACAATATGGAAAAGAAGAAGACTGATCCTAATCATCCTTCTCAAGAAAAAAAAAAGGCAAAAAAGATTTCATGCTTTAAGTTATTACGTTGTACGGTATGAAATGTCTTTTGAGCTTATGGGTGAGTTAAGTGCTGATGTTTTCCTACTTCATTCTTGTACAGTTAAGAATCTTGTTCTTCTTCTCTAATTTTCATATGGAAAGTCAGTTAAAACTTCAACTCTAAGAAAACTGAAGTTCGCTAGTTACAAACAAAAATTTTAGCTCTAAACTTCAGTTCGCCAGTTACAAAACAAAAACTTCAGCTTTAGAGCTGAAAAAGCTGAAGTTCACTAGTTACAAAAACAAAACTTCAGCTCTAGAGCTGAAGTTCGCCAGTTACAAAACAAAAACTTCAGCTCTAGAGTCGAAGTTCGCCAGTTACAAAAACAAAAACTTCAGCAATTACAAACAAAAATTTCAGCAAATAGAGAACAAAACTTCAGCTGTTATGCTTAAGTTCAGCAATTACAAACAAAAACTTCAGCACGCTTGGTTCAGCACAATTGTTACTTCAGTCTCGTCTACTAGAATGCTGAAGTTTTGCGTGATTGTCTTTACTACTTCAGCCTCGTATGCTGAAGTTACGCGAAAAGGTGGGTACGCTTGCAATTTGTTTTTGCAAAGTGGACACAAGTTAAAACGTGACCCAAAAAAGCGCGTATAGATGCAAATGCCCCATTAATATCCACAATAACAAATACTCCTATGAGGGTTGGTTTTGCTGGGTTTCAACGGGATTATTACACAAATAGCCAGTCAAACTTATAGTTTACTTTTTCTAGCCGGTATACATAAATTATATATTGATTACATACAGTTATAGACATATTGCACATGTATTATATGTTATACAAAATATCCACAGGCAATTTTTAATTTAGGAAATTAGATGGACGATTATTTGGGTTAATTCTTCAATTTTTCAACACTACAGTAATTAGGGAAAGTAGAATAAATAGAGGCCCAACTTTCACAGAAGGTGAAGGCTGATTTACACAAATAGCCAATTTGGTAACATCGTGTTAAGAAGTTGGCTATTTATATAAAACAATATAGATAGACATTTATGCTGTCAACTGCGAAATAAATACCTTAACACTGTAACACAATGACCAGATAGACATGCCTTCTTGACAGAAGTGTGTCTCGTGCACATCCGAGTTTAACAGACCATAAGCGTGAAAGACAATCATGATATATAAAATGGACAAATTAATGAATTACACGTCAATCTTTTAGAACAAAAGACAGCTGTAATTTAAAAAACAAAAGGAAAAAAATAACAAAAGAAATATC